AAAAAAAAAAAAAAATGAAAGAATACAGAAAGAGTGTAGAATTGCTGCCCAACGCTTAGTAACTGTAAAACGTGCAGTACACTCCGTCATGCGCTATTCCAGTATTTTTAGCCGTCCATCTGGTTCACTTCCGAGCGAATAAAACGATTCTGTGCCGATGCACCAGGCAGCCAGACAGGCAGGGCCCCGTGTCGTTTATTCGAACGAGTAATCTACATGGACAATTTAGATAAAGCTACTACTACTACTACACCTAGCTTCAGTAAAAGAGAAATTATTGTGTTCGTGAAATAGTCTGTCGACTTTCGAGATGTATGCTTCGTCTTTTTGAAAAAAAAGAAAGAAAAAAAAAAGGAACCCCCGAAAGAAAAGTTTCGCAACAAAAATTAGTTTTCGTCACAATTTTTCTATTTTCGCAAGAGGACGAAACGTAACTCAAAGAATTGTCGAATGAAGAACGTAAAAAAGTATAACCTGTCATGTTCTTCACGACTAAGATCGAAGACAATGATTATAGTGATATTATCGTATATTATAATACTCACTATGACACATCCGTTTAATAGAATTTTATTATTTCAGGGTTCCCGGCATTCACGGCAGCAGCAGCCGCAGCAGCAGCGGCTGCACAAAATTCGAGTTTCAATGCCGCGGGCAAGCAGATCGAAGGACCGGAAGGTGGTAACCTCTTCATTTACCACCTACCACAGGAATTTAGCGATACCGATCTCGCTTCTACCTTTCTACCTTTCGGCAATGTCATATCCGCCAAAGTTTTCATCGATAAGCAGACAAAATTGAGCAAATGCTTCGGTAAGTTAAGAATTCCCACGTAGTTCAGAATTCAAATTCTCTTCTACTACGAGAAAATTCTTTAAATAATAATAATAAAATATATAATATCATATATATATATATATATGTTACCGTCAAAAAAGCTGGAAATCAGTCATTGCTAGTAATTTCTCGGTATTACTATGAATGCATTTGCTAAAAGTATAAAAAATATTTGCCGAAACTTTTCAAAGAAATGGCAAAGTAGGAAAAATTTGCAGCATCTCATTCTCCGACATTTTCTTAACTTTACATGCTAAATTTATAACTCGATATGGTATTCTAC